TTCATTCAAAGCTCTGACCTTTTCTGCTCTTAATGGGTCACAGAGTATTTCCGAACAGTTTACAGTACTTACTACAAGAAGAGCCTAGCATCTAGTCTGCCCAGACTGTGCTGGAGTCACTATGCATGACACCAAATGGCTAACAAATCACAGAGATTAATCTAAATCTTTTGCTGTAATCCTTTAATTCTTCATCAAGATCCTCAACATTAACATAATTTTGTCAGAATAGAGTTTGTAGAATAGTTTCAGATTAATTCAATCATAGATAGCATGTCTTAATGAAAGAACTAATTTGATGTCTATGTGATTTTTTTTTTTTAATTGCATTTTTGAGGTAACTGGCCTTCACATGACAGCATGGCCATAATAAAGAAGTTTCACCAAAGAGAACGTTCCCTCCTCTATTCAAATGGTTTATCTATCATATGGTCACAAATGATGATAAAAGGAACTAAAAGCCCTCTTCTGCAATCAATGACTCAAGACATATCCCCATCTGGGCCAGGATTTACAAAACTAGACTGCACACTCTTACAGTAATATATAGATTATCGTCCAAACTCGCTCTTAAAATTATTTTTCCTTTTCATATTATTTTGACTGAAGTCTTTAACCCATAACTGTCACAGAAAATTACAGTGTTAATTTATCTTATGAATATGTGGCAGTGATTAATAATTATGAAAATGGCCTTTTGATTTGAAAGCCAAGTGAGAATGTTAACCATGACCTTTAATACTCTGCTTCAGAAGGAGTATGTCATACAAAATACCGACCACTCCATGTTGGAAGCAAGACCCCTCTCACTTGAGGCCGAAGTAAATTTCCCTCTTTCAAGTCTAGTAATGTGCTTATCCTGCATATCCAAAGTCTATTAATTTTTGTCTGCAAGGACTGAAGGATCCGTTTCAATGACAGTATGACTTTGAATGATTAACAATTCTACAAGTTACATGTTTTTCTATGTTATGCTAGAATAGAAATGTGTTTTAAAAAAAAAAATACAACAACAAATGTACAAATTAATAAATAAAACAGCTAGAGCTTGAAGTACAATGTACAGAAGATTGCTTCCAGGTAGATCACAATAGCACAGTATTTCTTTTTAGAAGAGATGTTTTGTGCCTTGTATGTATTGTTAAGTTTTCGAGCATGTTGAATGATAGACTTGTTTTAAAAATGTTGCTAGTATTTAGTTTTGGTTCAGTTCAAAAGGCTACATCAGAACAAGGAATTGAAGAGGGAAAAACAATACGAAAACAACAACAACAAACTGTTTAGCTGCCTAAATCACCAATTTAAAAGGAATGTATAAAAAGTTCCCAACAGTTTTCACCAGTGGCTGAAAATGTTAGATTAAATTTTACTATTCCTGAGAAATATTGTTTGACGTGACTAGAGTACAGTTTGTTGAGCAGATAATAGTTTTTGTTTAAAATGATTCCTTTCTGGGTATTATGTATGGATTAAAGATTGGGCCTACATGAATAAAACATCCTTGTCGAGAAAAATATTTTAATGATGACTTTTTTGTGGTTGTTTTTTTTCTTTAAAAGAAGTCAGTTACTTGAAAGGAATAGGTTATGTATAGCTTTAGGGGAACTAAAGCTTGTATCTTTATGTTAAATTAGCCTACTTCACAATAATAGTTATATATCATGTTTTTCTTTTTTTTTTTCTTTTTTTTTTAAATAAATTCTTGTTTCACCAAAAGAAAATAAAATGTAATTTTTATACCTTTAGGGCAAGTTCCAGTTCTTTTGGTTTCTTGAAGAAATAAATAAAAAGCATTGACAGAGAAACTTCTGAAATGAAAGCCCAAGGGGGAGGGAAGGAAGCACCTAAAACCATCATATTACCAAGTGCTGAGGTAATCAACCACAGTCTGGGAAATGTCAAACAATGGCATTCACCTACCCAAAGATATTGCTGGTCAAGTCCTCAACTGCCATTTATAATCACTAACTAAAACATGGAATATAGATGTGGATATAAACAAGAGACAAATTAGTATTGGGAAGCTGGATTTAATAATCCACTAAAAGAGACCATCTGTTTATAAAGACCCCCTTTTCCTTGATCTCTGACATGTATTCCTAATATAGACACAGCTGGATATTTTATTTTTTCATTTTTTAAACACTCTGCTACTATAAAGTCTACTTATAATATATCTGGTCAGAGTTTTTGTCTCAAGTTTCAGATATTATGTAAGCACTCAAGGGCAATAAAATTTCACATACAGTCAGCCAGCTTTAAAGTAAGTATTAAACTATCAGACTAACATAAATGCACTTTCGTTATTATTGATTTTTAATATCCTTTTTATTTTTCAGATTTTTTTGTAAATGTTTGTTATCACTGAAATAGCTTTCAGAAATTCAGGGTTTACTTTTTTTTTTTTTTTTTTTTTTTTTCCTCCAAGTTCTTGACACAGATTTGGATCTAAAGTTCAGTTTTCTTGTTTTCCTGTTTAAATTACTAGCAAAACTCACTCGGTGACAAATATAGTATTGACAACCTGACAAGCTAGATGCAGGAATAAAAGACCAAAGTGATAGAAAGCCTGAGTTTCCAAGCCACAACAGAGAAAAAAAGGGAAGAAAACACCTCTGACTATACACTTCTCACAGATAGAGGTCACTAATGGACTGGATTTGAATCAGTCTGGTAACAGCCTGAAAGTAATTTTGTGAAAAATGAATTCATTTTGAGATTAAAGAGGTTGTAGAAATTTTTAAGAAATAAAATTCTCACCTTCCTGGAAACAATATTATCCTAAGTGAGCTTTCTTTGTAGTTCTTTAAATAGAAAGTACAGTACAGGAAAAGCCTGATAGTGATGTTTGTTTGAAATTCTTTTTGTTTTCTTGACTTGGTAAAACTATGTCTCTCCATCCTTTCTGCAAGAAGGGTAGGGAACTCAACACTAATGACATGCCATGTTTTGGGTACTGCTATTTTAAGCATTTAAAGGTAAGCACATTATTTATTCTTAGAAAAAAAAACACAGCCTATGTAATGCAGATTCCAACTGGGAGGGTGTAGGGTTCCGGAAAGGAGATATGTCTACATCCTAAATCAAACTACCCAGCAGGCCAGGATATAAATGTGACTTGTAGCAATGGCTTAAATTAGATCCAGACTCTCAAAGCCAAATACAGATAACATCACCTTATACAAAGTATAGGGTGCATATGTGTGTAAGGAGTGAATCTTTTAAGAATGTTGGAGGCATTCCAGCATGACTGCTACAGACTGGAACTTTGGAAAAAAAACACTGCTGACTGTTAGTTGCAGGTAGTTGTATAGACACTGTATTTGCACAGTGCTCTGACTTTTTACCTACAGTACTCCAGTTCTTCACTATCACTTTTAACTGCTTAACTATCTTATCAGGATAGAGAACAGAAGTTTAAATAGAAAATCTTCTATCAATGGTAACGATGTTTGAAATCTCTCCCACATTTTCAGAAACAAGACTAACACTAACATTTCTTATATCATTTTAATTAAATCCCAGTGATAGCATTGCATATTTTATCTCTTTAAAAGAAAGAAGGAAAGAATGGTGGGTAGGATTACAGATATGATACCTTTTAAAAGTTTTGGGAAAAAAAAATGCCAGGACAGACCTTTTCCCCCTCCCAAAAACTTGCATTTCTAAAACCAACCCACAAGTTGTCTCTGAAAATGCAGTTGCATAAAGGTGTGCTTGCAAAAAGGCGATGTCAGAGAAAGAAAAAAATGAATGCCCCACAGAAGTTGGCATTTGTTGTAACTGAAGTAGTGATCAATTTCAAACTTTAAAATGGTTTAATCTCCCTACAAGCACTGCACTAAGTAAACATATTTTTAACATACACCCTCTTTCTGTGCGCCTGTGTGTATGCTTGAAAGAGGTTTGTCTTGCTTTAGAATCTTCTCATGCAAGGAACCTCTCCCTTTCTCTTTAGCTGAGCTCTGCATTGGAGAGAGGAAAAAAAAAAAAAAAAAAAAAAAAAAAAGCACCTGAAGAAATCTAATCAGTACTTTCCACACACCGTACAGGAATTTACACGGATTTGTGCCTTGGATTTATTAGCTTATTGTGAGCCTTAAAACAGCTTTCCTCCATTAAAATTAATTAAAAGCTCCTGTTGACTGATTTCCACTACGAAAAGAAGGTGGACAGTCTTACTTTTCTGCTTTGATACTGATTTCTTTATCTTTCATGGGATTATATCTCTTGCTCTAGATAGATCTTTTCAGCTGTTTGATTTCTTTTCACGATCTGTTTCTCTGCCCATTATTCCCCTCCCCCTGCCCACCCCCTTTCCAATATTTGTAATTATTTTGCCAGAAATCACCTCTAACTCAAGAGCTCTATTAGGAGCTCCCTTGTACTCAGAAACCTTGATCCCCTTCCCTTCACCTCTCCCCACTCACTCACTAACCAGACCCCGCTCCGGGGGCTTCTGATGGGAACGTGACGAAACCTCCCGGAGGCCGCAGCTCCTTGCTCTCCCTGTCCTTTACACCTCGGAACACTGGCCAGCGTGGAGTTCAGACGACTGCCTCCACCGATCGAGTCTCATCTTTTGAAGTTCCCGTTTCTCCAAACCACCTCCTCGAACGCGGCTATGGTCGCGCTCGTACGCGCGCTGCGCCGGTTTCCTATGGCAGGAGAGCCGCTCTGCGCGGCGCCTGGCGGAGGGTGGGAGTTGCGGGCTGCTTTCGACACCGAAACGAGCCCAAGGACCTGGTTACTCGGGGCGGCTGAGAGCTCCCGACCCGAGCGCTGCCGTACAACCGCCCGCCGACCCTCCTCACACTTGCCGCCGGCCATTCATAAATTGTGCGTGTGCCTGCTGCTGCACACTTGCAGACACGGGGCTCTAATGAGGCGCACGCGATCCCGGCCCCTTAACTTTGCCTTCTCAAAGGGCACCGGGGTTTTAAATCGCCTGGGCTAGAATAACCAGGAAGGAAGAGAAAGAAATGAAATCCCAACTGTACCTGACAGCGTCTGGGAATCCCTCGCCGACACCGATCATAATCCCCTTCCACGCTTCTGGCCCCCCACACCAAAACTTTTCCGCTGCCGCCGCTGCTCCTCGCTTCTGGCCGCCGCCTGCCGCTCCTGGCCAGCCCCTGGGGCCCGCTGCCCGCCGCCGCTCCTCTCCGAAGCGGCCCCCGCGCCTCCCTCCTCCCTTAGGAGGCAGCGGCATCGTCCTCCCCCCTTCTCCACCACCTCCTCCTACGGCGCGCAGCCCGCGGCTCTGGCATCCCCAACGCACTTTCTCTCCTCGATTTGCTCCTCTTTCCCTCGCTGCTCCTCCTTCTCCGGTAAAAAAGAAACGAGAAGGGGCTGCGAGGACGTTGCTTTCTTTTTTCCCCCCGCCCCCCTTCTCTCTGTCCTCTAGAAATGATGAGAGGATCACATGAGGAGCTGGCACGGAGACCCAGGACCCTTGGACGTCGGAGGAGGCATCGAGCACATAGATGTGAGTGTATGTGTGAATGCGTGCGGCTAGCTCCCTTCGAGTGCCGCGCCTGCCTTCAACCGGCGTTGCAGGCTGATCTTAGCAGTAATGATGCCTCAGATCTGACTATTCCCTGCTAATGTGAGTCGTGCCTTTTTTTCCTCCTTGCCTGACACCCCAGGGAGATGTTTACAGTAATGAATTCAGTTGATAGCCATCTCTCTCCTCTCCTCTCTCTCCCCTGGAGTCCCTCCCACATTTCTAGTTTAAAGAATGCTTGGAAGGCAGGGCTGCAACCTAAAGCTTTCCAAGAGGCAAAGTCAGGCTAGGTTTTCTCTCTTCCTTTTTTTTTTTTTTTTTTTTTTTTTTTGACTCCCGCTCTTAACCCATTGCTTGCTGACGGCAGCTCAGCAGCGAGCTCCCTCCCATCGCACTCCTCCTCTCCGCCCCCGGCTCGCAGCGAGGGGCAGCAGCGGGCGGGCGGTGCTCCAAGAGTGCGCGGCCCCCACTGCGCGCCCCGCCTCGCCGGGAGCCGAGGCGGAGCGGAAGGAGGGTGTGGGGATCGCCGCGCTCCGTGGCAGGCGGCCTCAGTCGTGCTCGGGGGTCCTTGAGGGGGTATTGGAAGGGAAGGCGGGGAGCAAGCTGGTCCGCGAGCTGCAGACCTTGCCGGGAGATGCCCTCAATAGCTACAATCAGAGCTGCGCTCTCCGCCAACATGGCGATATTTCGTGTTCTGCCGGCGCTGAGCCCGCCTCTCGCCCCTTCCCTTTCTATTCATCTCCCTCCCCCTTGCGAACTTTTAGGTGGGCAACAGCAGCACGGGATAAATATAGCACAGAATGAAAGAAAGTCTAGCCCTCAGGGGAGAGACGGAGCTCCTTCAGTATTCGGTCTGGTTTTCATGCTCAGCCAGGAAAGCTTTAAAACCGCTGGGGAAACCACCTTGTGCCCCAAAGCGCTACCAACGCCCCCGTACTAATCCCTTCTGCAGCACTTCGTGTCTGTATATCGAGTTATCTGGGCTTGTTTCGGGGTAACCCAGTTCCCTAGTTGATTCTTACCTTGTCCTGACAAGCCCAGGTAGGAAAGTGTTTAACACTGAGAAGCACCCGGGCAATGGGATGCAGCCGTCAAGGTAGGACGTGGGGTGTGAAGTGAGGATTTGTCTCGAATTCCTCCATTAGCAAAGAAAACGTATAGTGTGGCTTTGGACGAGAATTACTTAAAGAGAGAGGGGCTGGGAAGGTATGGAGGAGAGCTGATCAATGCCATGTGTCCAGGAAACAGAAAAGGCAAATGAAATGCCGTGGGGTGTCCTTCCCCCTCACCCACAGCTGCGCGCTGCCTCGCTATTTCAGCTCAGCCGTACTTTCAGGAGCTGATTCACTCGCCATTGTCTCCGCACCTCCTTCGCCCTTCTCTAGGGGAGGGCTGACTCACTCCCTGCTTCAGAGGCGTTCCGAGCAGGCGGGTCGCAGGTCAGCCTGACCCGGCGCGCAGCGCGCGACTTCGCCCCCGGGTCTGTGTCCTGCAGAGGAGTGGGAAAGACTCGAGTGCTACAGCCCCCATCCGAGCCGTGCTGCCTGCTCGGAGAGGGATTTGTGCCCTCACCTACATGGACGCGAGGAGGAAGTGTGAAAGGGGGAGCGCAGGTAGCCTGGCATTCTGTAGGGGGCTCGGCGAGGGGAAAAAAAACTGAGGAGGGGGGACATCGCCTCCTCTCCTAGCTTCGCAGAGAGAAATTGCTGTCTCGGGGCTCCACGCCCCCGTGATGGAGCCCCCACGCTCCGAACCCCTCCGCAGGGCTCGGCCACCCGCACAGAGCGGGTCTGGCGCGGCTCAGAGCCTCGGGGCTAGCCGCCGTCCCCGGCAAAGAGACGGAGCAGCCCTGAAGTCGAATCTCTGCCTGCAGCTCCCAGCTGGTCCCGAGAGATGAAAGGAGCAGAAGCCCTGCAAGGTCCAAAGGCGAACGAACAACCTTTTTTAAAAAGGTTGTCCTGGGTCCTCTTTGACTTTTCAAGACCTGTCTTCCTTTGTTGGATTTTTTAAGAACTCTGCATACTTTTATAGCACTTATATGTGCATGATTTATGGCTCTTTCCTGAAGCTGATGGAAAACCGGTGCATTTTCTCCTGAGCGTTTCCTCTCTTCACCCATCCCCAGTATTACCAACCTGTCACTACCCCAGGCAGAGATCTGGCAGAGCGCGGCTCTGTCGATCAGGGCCATTTCTGCCCGATACCCTCCCCTAACTCCCCGCCACGGAGCAAAGTGGAAGCACGAAAACTCCAGCAAGGCTGCGGGCTGCTGTCCTGCCCCGGGGCTCACAGGGGTTGGGTGGGGTTCCACCTCCAGCCCACGCTTCACATCAAAGAAAGATACTCAGGACACGCTTTGGTCATATCAAGATTGTGTCAATCCAGAAGAGACTTTAGCCTTTACCTGCTTATGCGGATGTCTCCAGTAATCACCCAAAGCCCACCGGGTCCGGCCGGTTGCAAGGGGGAAAAGTGGCAGAACAGCTGGATTCCGGCATCGTATTGTTTTAAGGATCACCACCAAGGTCTCTGTTTTCCATAGCTGCCGATAAACACCATCGCCCAAGGTTTCTTTCAAGGAAAGGAGGAAGGAAATATACTTCCCAAGCCTCTGTCCAGCCGGTCTTTTGACTCTGAAACCACCGATGACCGAGGAACCCCCTCCGCAACCTTAAAAGCCCGTAATTTCCCTCTGCTTCTCCTCCGGCGGCTCCGGCGCACCGCCACCGCGCGATCTTATCGCCGCGTGATCATTATTCACCGGTGACAAGCGGAGATGCGGAGCTCCTAAGTGAGGGTGACAGATTTCAAACGCGGTGCTGCGGCGTGCTCAGACTCGAGACATATTCTTCCTCAAACTTTGCCTAGCAAGCAAGTCAGCGTCTTAACCCTTTGCATGCTTGCTTGTCGCACGGGCACCGCTTATTTGCTGGGAGACTCTTCATTACATATCTTTTTTCTGTTCTTGAATTGAAACAAATCAGAACCGCCAACTCTGGGGAGCAGTTGGAGAGCTGAATACTTTTGTGGTTAGGGACTGGAAAAATCCTCCCGGCAAAGCAGTCCCCGGCGGACTCACCTGCAGTCCCTTTGTCGCCAGGTTTGGTATGCAAAGCATCACATGCATCGTATGGAATTCACACAGAATTGCGTTTTCCTCAGCTTGATGTGGCTAAAAGGACGTATCTGAAAGCGCTATTTCACTCAGACCTTCAGCTCCGTCTCCTTTACAGGTTATCAATAACAGCAGAGCAAGTGAGAAAGGAATTTATTTCCATAGGGGATAATAAATAAATAAATAAATAAAGCAAGCGTTTTTGACACATGCACTTCGTAGGAAAGGAAATATTTGCCACAAGCAAAATTTAGCATACCAAAACATATTTCCTTGGAAGCGCAGGAGAGCCACAAAATGAGGGAAAACAACAATAAAAAGGGAAAAAAAAAAACCTAACAAAAAAACCCTCATGTGTAGTTCAAAGCTGTAATGAAGTGCATGAAAGCTCTCCAAAGTCAGTGTCATCAGCTCAGCGAAGCCTGATATCAAGACAACGTTGGCTATAGCACTGTAACATGGAGACATAAGGAAGATACAAGGAAATCTGCAAAGTCCTTTAAGTTTCTAATATTCATTTATATATGTTTTCTCTAAGTTGTGATGTTTGCTACCCTTCCTTGTTTCCCCCCTCCACTCCCCTTCAAAATAAAAACAAACAACCCAACAACAAAACATCATTTACACATCATATTTGTAATAACGGGTGACATGAGGGCTGACCCCGTTCAGACCCGAGCGAGGTTCCCAGGCCGGCGGGCGGTGCCGCCCAGGTGCACGGCGAGCTCTACGGGCTGCACGTCCCGCGGCGCGGCCCAGATGGCAGCAGAGCACAACGCTCGGCGTGGAGCCGCAGCTGGGAAAACTTCCCCCATTTTCTCCCTTCCGCACGCTCTGTTTAAACTGCTCCCCCCACCCCCTTCTCTCAATTATTAATCTTAGTTATAGTCTGGTTGTTTGGGCTTCATTTTTTTTTTTTTTTCTTCCCTGTTGTAACTGTGTGAAACATTTATTTATTTATTACCAAACTGCTTTGCAGGGTTGAAAGGCTGTAAACTGAAAGGAAAATGTAGAATTTTTTAAAATTATCTTTGATTATACAAGATAGCTAGCCTGGAGTGATGGCCTACTGATCCATAATGCAACCTCACTTGTTTTAAAGTGGATATGAAATAGGGTAACATTTAAAAAGATTATGAAAAAGTATCTTCTTTATAAATGTCTTTTTTTTTTTTTTCCTTCTTTCCTTTTTTTTTTTTTTTTTTTTTTTTTCCCCTCTCAGATATAATGCTAGAATAAATATTGCTGCTTGCAAGACAAAAAGTAGAAGTAGCTGAAAACAATTCTGCAACTGGGGGGCTGGTCTAAAGTACACTGAATATGCTTTCTGTTTTTATCAGTAATGGTGTATTTTGTATCAGGCTTTAAATTCATGCAGCTGGCAGAAAGAAAAAAAATGCAGTGTGAATTCTTCATTAATTTTTTGCTAAACCAGTTATTTTAAAAAATATTTGAGGAAGTGGAGAGCAGAAGAAACAGAAGCCAGGGTGGGGACAAGAAGAGGAGTTGCCTTTAGAATGGCAGAGCAATTAGTTATTTAGATATTGTATTCTGTCTTGAATTCTAAACAAGTTGAAGGGTTGAATATGTTCTTTTCCATCTTAAGATACAAATGAAGAACTTTGACTACATTGAACTGAAGAACCCCGCTCCTCCAACAGGTTTTTTTCTGAGCTCTCACATCCTTGGTGAGATTAAGATGAAAATATCAAATGGGTTCTGAAGCAGAATTTGGAATATTTTGTGATATAACTCAAATGGTAGATTTCTACCATTTTGAAATGTAGGGATTAGAGCCTGATTCAAAATAAAATTAATAATGAAACAAAAACCATTAGACTATTCCCCATCTCATCTCTTCCTTCCCACCTCCTTTCCCTTTAGCTCACTGTTACCTTCTGTTTTTTCCATATGTTAGGTATAACCTTGTAACAGTGTCTGTAATGCCTTGGGATGTCACACTTCATAGATTTAACCTACTGGAGGCATACCCTTCTTGTTTCCAAGGGATTTCTGCATTTAGCTTTTGACAGTATCATGACAAACTATTTCTAACAGCTGCCTTTGGCCACCCTTCTCTCCCTTGTTCCAGGACACAGGGATCTGAATGTTTAGTAGATTCTTAAAATTCCTGGTCTTAAATATTTAGTCTTTAATACTGAGCAAGAAGATCCAAGGCATTCTGTT